GCAAGAGTTGGGGAGCTTATGCCAGAACTGTATAAAATTCTGGTTAGGTCACAACTGGCATACTGATTGCAGTCCTGGTCACCACATTATAGGAAGGATGCGATTGAACTAAAGAGGGTGCAGAGGAAATTTACCAGGATGCTCTGTGGGCTGGAGGGAGTATTTATGAGGGAGTATTGGATACACTGGGATTGTTTCCCTTGGAACAGTGAAGGTTGAGAGGTGTGCCCTGATAGTGTGTACAATATGACGTGTGGCATAGTGAGGATGGATGAGAAGGCGCATTTTCTGTTAGTAGGGGAGGTCAATACCCAAGTTTCATAGATTTAAGGTAAAAGACGAAGAGAAGAGTTAGATAGTTAGAGTCGTACAGCATGGAAACAGAGCCTTTGGTCCAAACAGCCCATGCCGAACATAATCCCAAACTAAACTAGTCCCACGTTCCTGCTCCTGGCCCACATCCCTCCAAACCTCTCCTATTCATATATCCATCCAAATGTCTTTTTAAACATTGTAATTGTACCCGCATCTGCACTTCATCAGGAAGTTCATTCCATACGTGAACCACCGTCTGTGTAACAAAAAAAAATGCCTCTTGTGTCCTTTTCAAATCCTCTTACCTTAAAAATCTGCCCCGTAGTCTTGAAATTCCCCATCTTAGGGAAAAGACAACTACCATCAGCTGTATCTATATCTCATTATTTTATAAACTTCGATCAGGTCACCTCTCAACCTCCTACTCTCAAGCTCAACCTCCAGTGAAAAAAGTCCCAGCTTATCCAGTCTTCCCTTATAGCTCAAACCTTCCATACCTAGCAACATCCTGGTAAATCTCTTCTGAATGCTCTCCAGCTTGATAATATCCTTCCCATAACTGAGGAGAAATATTTTCACTCGGAGGATTGAGGGGGTCAGGACCTTGTTTCCATGTAATTTTGTGGTTGTCATAACATTTAAGCAGTATTTAGATATTTGCGCATTGTTATAGCTTCCAAGGCTATGAGCCAAGGACTGGAAACCAGGAATAGTGCAGTCAGATCTTTGCTGATCAGTGTGGATATGATGGGCTGAATGCCCTCCTATGCTGTAAACATCTGAGAGTTCAAGCTTGGATGCTGGAACAGGACTGCTCCAGTATCTGAGGAGTATTGAATGGTGCTGAACATTTTGCAATCATCAATGTGCAATCATCAATGAGCCATCCCACTCTTTTGACCTTGTGGACCAAAGGTCATTGAGCAGCTGCAGACAGTTCTATTCCAGTGTTTGGAATGCATGCACTTGTCAGGCTGTAGATTCCAATAAATTTTCTCTTTCCAGCCAGGATGTGTTGGTTCTTCTGTGTTTTAATACAGAGAAGTAAAGAACAGCTGTAACTTGAGCCTAATCTTTATAAGCTTTTATTTCCAGAGTTATATTACATAAATACACTTCCAAACTCAACACAGATTCAGTCTGCTCCAAAATGTAGGAACATAAGTGAATCTCCAATTAATGCATATCACGTGAATACAGTTTAACACTGAATTGATATATGGTTACTGGCATCAATCCTTCCATCTGCCTTTGTTGTGTGTTATAACATGACAGAAGAGGTTGATTAAAAATAATTAGTGACAGGGCCTTGTGGTGCAGGATAGAATCCCTACTTCTGAGCCAGAAAACTCTGGTTCAAGTTTCACCTGTCCCAGATGTGCATCGTAGCATGTCCATACCAAACAAATATACATGAATCAGTGACTATTCACTCTGAGGACTGCTCACACATGGGTATACACACAGAGCTGAGTTAAGAAAGTATAAATTGAATAGATACACACTTGTACAGTACAGAAAAACTAAGGACTTTCCAGCACCATAACAAGCTCAGAGTAGAACGATACTATAACATTACACAAGCCAAAAGTCCTACAACAGCTAAGGACACAATGGAAAGCACAGGGAGGAAACCTCTGAGCACACAAAGGAAGCTTCAGGGCACAGTGATTTAAAGGCACAGTAACATGTTACAATAAAGCGTATGGAATTTTTAGATGTTCAGACATGGAGCTTTCATTGAATAAAGATTTGAAATAAATTCAAAAAATAAATTTAATGTGAACTATCTCTTCACTAGATTGCTGGATTTAGGAAAAAAACTGAGGCGTTCTTCTATAACAACAAACAAATTACTATCGGCGTATTTCTTCAAATTTACACCACTACATCATTGCAATTAAACAATTTGCTATTCTAATCTTAGTGATGTAAAACCTTAATTTAGCAACATATTTAATGCAACAAAGTACATGAAATCCCAGTGTCAGAGAATGCCATCCGTTGAGGGACTGAAAATAGAACTTAGTGCATTTATTGATTCTAATTTCACACCCTGCTAGAACTAAAAACCTTCACTAAATATTCTTGAGGGTTCTTGATCAAATTGTTATTTTCAAAGGGGTGTAGTAACTGCAGAATTATAAGGGTGGATAGATTTCTGATCCAAATAACACTGTATATAATCTGTTTTATCAATATTTTTAACCAAAGTTCTTGTGCGCATTCCTGACATTCCCAAATGTAATTCCTTAGCTTCTGTTATCAGAATTGCAAGTTAACTAGCTCTTTGAAGTTGTGTTGGTGAAAGGTTAGGAGGCTTTATAGTGTCAACATTTTAACTGGTTTGTTTGGGGTCTACACAGTTATATATTTGCATGCTTTCCTAATTCTCAAATAATTTAGTGATGCACTGGGTTATTGATCAGCCAAGCTCTTTTACGTTAAGCATACAAGTACTGATTAGTTACTTATGGTATACAATACTGTTGTGTATCAGTTTTTCAAATATAACAGGATGTTCATATCAAACTCACTACTTTCATGGAATCATAGGGATTCTATGATGTGGAAGCAGGCTATTCAACCTGATCCACACTGACGCTCCAAACAGTATTCCACTCAGACCCATCCCTGTAACCCTGCTTTTCCTATGGCCATTCTACCTAACCTGCACATCATTGGACTGTGTGAGGAAACTGGAGCACCTGGAGGAAACCCACGCAGACACAGGGAGAATTTGCAAACTCCACACAGCTGTCCCAACGGTGGAATCAAACTCTGCTCCCTGGCGCTGTGAGGCAGCAGTACTAACTTCTTAGCATTGTGCTCTGTATAGGTGCAAAAATTGCTGGTGAACTAATGATTAATGAAATAATGGGCCTGATTTGCTGAGGAGTGACAATTTTTTAAAGAAAAGAAGGGAGCTCCACATTTCTGAGAGAACATTCCACTCAGGGCCCCCATACAAAATGTGGAGCTGCACTTCCATTCTGATAATTCTTTTGCAGCACGAAAGGTGCAAGACACTCCATTTTCACAGCAGTCAGCTGCTCAAAGTTTAGGTGTTGTGAGAGCCAGATTGTAAGACAGTAAGTACATAAAGTATGATGTTAAGGTGCTTGGATAGGAATGGATGTGGTAGGGTGCCAGATGGCTAAGGGATTTCTGTGCTGGAGTATTGACAGATGAGTAGGGGATAGGGTGCCAGGAAGGAAGGTAAGTAGAATGCCTATTGGGTAGGCGATAAGGTGCCCGACAGCTCTGATACCATGTGGGTAGGATGCAGCTTAGCAAGATAAATGATGCAGTGCTTAGGGTAGGTTAGGTAAGGTGGAAGAAATTTGTTCCTGCTGGGGTCCAGTGGTCTGGGGGAAATTGTGTCCCCCTAATTTTTTCCTGCTATTGTGTGGACCTCTGAGTTCTATGCCCGGCAATAACCTCTGGAACCTGCTGTCTGTGTATCCACTTCTTGCGTGCATGGGCACTCCAAATTAATGTCATATCTACAGGGGTGTTGGGCTAGGTCATTAGGGAGTGTGTGCATGTGAGTTGGAAGCATTATCAGGTCAGGATCAATGTGAGGTATAGTGGTGAGCGTGGCAACAAGTATCAGGTCCATTTAATAATTACTCAGGAGTTATGACTTTGTATGCTCTTAAGTTTTTCTGAGTAACTATTTTACTTTCACTGGAACCCTCAAGGTTTCTGATTTTAAATGGAAACTTTGGAGGCTTCTAAGCATAGAGGAATTGCCCAGCAAAAAATTCAATTCCCTGGGCAGTTCCTTCAGAATGTCCTACATTGGGGATTCTGCAGGGTCCTTGTGCACAATTCATATCTGCATTGAAATAATGCCTTTCTGACTAGTGCAAAATCCAGGCCAAAGCTTTTAATGAAAATCACTCTGTAACAAAATACATGCCATGAGTTTCAATTTGCCACATATTGTTGCTCACCTTGCACAATTCACCTTTCCGTAATTTGAAGAAATAACCATTTTAACCATTAGCCTCCCCACTGCCTATCTCAAATTTGCTAAGTTTATAGCCATTTATGTTTATAATTCAGACTATGGAGATGCTATTAATGAAATTTATTAATGGTCTTTGCAAACCAACACACTCAGTACCCAAAGGAAATTAATAATATGTAGAATCTCACTGGTAAATTTTCTGACAGATTGTTTTTAACATTTCAATTTATTTCATTTTCTGACTCAACCATAATATTTTTCGTCATGTAATTTTTTTCTGTATTATATCTTACATGTTCTTCTGTCTCTGTATTGCTAAATTTAATTGAACCAGTAATTTGAGGTCCCACATAATCCATTGATGTTGCTGCACCGATATCAATTTGCATTTCCAATACAAGATTAAAAAAATAGAGTTACAGGTAGTTCTCCTATAACACGATAGTTGCATTCTTGTGTGACTGTGCGCTATAGAGGATCGCAGTGGGAAATCACTCTCAAATTGCTATACCTGCAAAGCACAAAATTCACGTTTTCCAAATAGTGTTCACTTTTCATCAATCTCATTACAGCCAATTCGTGTTAACGAAACACACGCTATAGCAGAAATACCTGCACAGTGTTTGTTGTGAGATATGCAGGCCTGACTGTTTGTGAGGAATAGTATTTTGGGAGTTGTCTAAATTTTCTTTTCTTAAAAAAAAAACAGGTCTTCATTGCACAGTCTAGAGGATCTGGCAGCCACCGTGATGTTGAAGATGAAGAGTTGACGAGAATTTTTGTCATGATTCCAAAATCCTATACAGAAGATGATCTGAGGGAAAACTTTAAGGTACATTTGTACATGCATTATCCTCTTTCTTGACTCCAGTACTTTCTCATGAATTCTTAATTTCAAAACAAATCTGAATTTTCTCTTGCGGACAATTTTTGACAGCCCTTGTCACAGACAACATTTTTTTGTGAAAGGTATCAATGAGAAATAACATTTGGAATGCTTTTACAGATTATATTTGTGGTGATGTGGGAATGGGAGGGATTAGAGGGTAGAAAATGGGGGGTACTGGGATAAATAAATTTAAGCAGAGCATGGGAAAAAGCAGAAGTGGAGACTTTGAACGGATGGAAGCAAGGGGAAAGCTGAGGAAGGGTAGGGTTTAAGCAGGTCTCTATCTCATCTCTCACCTTGCATTTTACATTACATTAGCAACACATTATACCCATACCCGAGCATCACCAAGTGACACCTTGTTAAGCTTAAAGTTAAAGGAAGATGCTAAAAGACTGAGATGGATGTGCACAAGTAATCGTAATATATGATTCATGATGTGCTGTGCAGTTTTATAAACTTAAATATTTTGGGCATGACACATTTTTCTTTCAGTAAATGTGAATTGCTTATGGGGCAGTAATTAGTACCTTTTATAGTTGTTGCTGGTCAGGCAACTTTTCTTGTCAGGTTATTTTGCATTAGTCCAATAATTATACCTTGCCTTGTGATGGCTTGATTCTACTAATTGCAAGCATTGTTAAGACTAGGGGATTACATTGTAGTCACTAAGGGGTGGCACAGTGGTTAGCTGTGCTGCCTCCCAGCACTTAGGGACTTGGCTTTGATTCCAGCCTCGGGTGACTGTCTGTCTGTGTGGAGTTTGTACGTTCTCCCCCTGTCTGCGTTGGTTTCTTCCGAGTGTTCCGGTTTCCTCTCAGTCCAAAGATGTGCAGGTTAGGTTGATTGGCTATGCTAAATTGCCGATAGTGTCTAGGGTAGGAAATGCAGGGATAGGGTCAGGGTTGTGTCTGGGTGGGATGCTCTTCGGAGGGTCGATGTTAACTCGATGAGCCAAATGGCCTGTTTCCCCATTGTGGGGATGCTATGATTCTATATTTGAGAGAATTTGATAGATTTTTAGGTCGAGATACAGGAATAATTCAGCTAGGTGGAGTGAAGGTCGAAGACAACCAAGATCTTTTTGAATAGTGAAGAAGGCTCAAAGAATCTAATTCTTCTTTCTTATGCGATATATATATTTTGTGGTTCTATCAACTTTGATAAATTGCTTTATTTTGGTCAGCTGACTCTATTGTAAAATGATATTGATGCAAATACACTTGCTGGGATTTTACTGGCCCATTGATGGGTGTAATCCTGTGGCTGTGTCAGTTACTTAGTGGCACAAATGGCTGTGGCTTGGCTGCTCACTGACTGGAAGCAAGTGACCAACATAAATAAAGAACCAATTGATGTCCATTTATCCAGGCTACCAGAATTTACTGAGCAGACTCTTGTGATATGGATAGACTGACATTTACATGGGTGTGACCTCCAAAGGGCCTCCCAGAATTGGGAAGATGCCTTTTTGTTTCCAGAGGCCCCATGGCTGAAGCAGTAGTGTCCAGCAGCAACAGCACTGAGATCAAAGCTGAATGTCTTAGATCTCTGAATATTGGGGCCTTCTGCTTTACCCTGACAAACTTTTCATCTTTCCTCCACCTCAAAATGATGGCACCCTCTTGCTCACCTTGCAACATTAATATTGGCCATCTCTTTTGTTAGCTGCTGGTCTTCTCATTGCATCTGCAGTGTGGAGAATCAGCTGGCCTGTCATATTTGGATAGCAGCCCCTTAATCAGTCATCACCAGGAAGATTGTTGCTATGGTTCTGCTACCCATCAGACAAGTTTGGCGTCTCCACGTGGTCCCATGTCAAAATGTGGCCCATGCCTAAGAATCTGAGCACCATTCCATTGCTTAAGAGTCAGTGTTAGCAAGAAATAGGTAGAGTCTAAAGATAAAAACCTCCAATTATAAATTTAGAACAAAATACGAGGATAAAAACATACAAAATAGGAGCAGGAGTAGCTATTTAACCCCTCAAGCCTGTCATGCTATTCAAAAAGATCATGACTGATCTGCCATACGCCTCAACTCCTGTAATGTGCTAACCCTTCCTATCCTTCAACTCCCTGATATTTCAAAAAATTATCTACCTCCTGTTTCATTACTTTGTGATCTAGCCTCCAGAACACTCTGGAGATAGAGAATTTCAGATGTTCACAACCCAAATTTCTTTGCTTCTCAGTTTTAAATGAATGCTCCCTAGATTGAGATTCCCTACAAGAAACCTCTTCACAAATCTACCCTGCCAAACTCACTCAGAATCTTGCTTTTTTCAATAAGATCATTCCTCATTCTTCTACACACTAATAAATAAAGGCCCAATGTGGTTAGCCATTCCATCATCCCAGGATTCAGTGAATCTCTTTTGAGCTGCATTGGATGCCAGTATTATCTTTTTTTTTAAAAAAAAGTATTGGTACCAAAACTGTACACAATATTCCAGGTGCAGTTTCAGTAACACCCTGTACAGTTGTAAGAAGATTTCCCTATTTTAACATACTAACCACCACCCCCCTCAATCAATAATGACCAAAATTCCATTTGCTGTCTTAATTATTTGAGGCACTTGCATGCTAACATTTTGTTTCATGTGTGAGGACTCCTCGACCCCCTCTATGCTTCTCTAAATAATAGCCTGCTTTTTAATGCTTACTAACAAAGTGTGTAAACTCACATTTTGCTCCATTAAACTTCATCAGTCAAGTTTCTAATCACACACTCAACTCATTTAAAACCTGCTTGCAGATTCCTTATGTCCTCACTACATGTCTTCACACTTCTTTTTGTATCATCAGCAATTTTGGATACATTACGCTCTATCCCCTCCTCTAAATAAATGTAATGTAGGCAGTAAATATTTGATGCCCTAGGACCGGATCCTTCTGTTTCTCCAGTAGTTATGTCTTTCCAATCCTGACTCTGTCTTCTGTACATTAACCAATATTCAATCTGTGGTAATACATTACTCCTGATATTTTGATCTCCTGCCTTGGGCAATAATCTTTTAAATATAACCTTATTGAATATCTTCTGGAAGTCCAAATACTCTGCCTCTGCTGGCTTTCCTTTATCGACCTTGCTTGTTATATCCTTAAAGAACTGTAGCAAATTTCTTCAACACGATTTCACTTTCACAAACCATGTTGACTCTTATCAACAATCATTTATTTTAAAAATAGTGCCGATTAATACTATTTCACTTTTTAGGATATTGTCCAATAGTAATCGAGATTATTTATCTTTTATATTTTAAGATCTATACAATACAAATAATGGTTGTTTATGGATGACAAGTAACTTCTATAACAAAATATTGAATTCTAACCGAAGTTTCCATTTATCTACATTAGGAATTTGGAGATATTGAATATTGTAGTGTTATCAAGAACAAGGGCACAGGAGAGAGCAAAGGCTTTGGCTATGTGAGGTTTCTGAAACCATCTCAGGCTGCTCAGGCCATTGAAAACTGCGAACGATGTAAGACTTGTTTACAAAACTATAGACTTTTGAAAATAGCTCTCAATAACAGGAGTGAGGTATGCTAGAATTATTTGGGGGTATTTCTGAATATGTTAACTGTATAACTGAACAGAATATTTGTGTATTTATACATACATTTTATTGAATATTCTGTCATTGCCCATTTTTAAGCTTGAGTTAACAGCAGATATTAAACCATTTCCAAAAGTTAGCCATTGAGTATAATGGTAAAATGGAATTTTATAGTGTGGTAGCTGTGGCATTTTAGCCACAGACCACGATATCTTAATGAAGGCTAATTATAAAAGCTATCTGATCAGTTAATATTGTACAGGTTTTAGGGTAATTTGTGCACCCAGCACAAAACATAAGCCCGGCTGGCATTCAGCTGCTGTGATCTGCACGCTCATATTTTGGGGAAAAGAGCAAAAGCATGTTTTTATCAAATACTCAATAAAGTTTAGTCCCACTTCAATAAGTGTCCAATATAAAGGCACTTGTAAAAATTGGTGATGGAAAAATGGTAACTGTTAAGACTGTTGTAAAATCAGCAGTTGTAGGTTTATATTTTGAGTAGCACTAGATCTAATATCACTTAATATCATTAGATCATTGCATTAGTTTGAAAGCCTGTGCTGTGAATCCTGAGACAAAGACTACTTTTTTGAAAATGGATTGTTGAAGTTTTGGGAAGGAATTGTGCATCATAATGTCCATTATTTGGACAGTATTTCAGTTTAGAAAAAGAGTGAGAATTATTGTCACCACTTGGCAGTTTGTGGCAGATGCATCACTCAAACAACTATAGACATCTAAAGTTAAAATTAAAATTCATCCCACATTTTTAATAATTCTTAATGTCTAATAGGTGATTGTGCAAATGTATTAGAAAATAGTTAACAAATCTCTTGTGTTCTATTTCTGTAAGGCCATTGTAGATGGCACCATGTCAGCTCAGCAAATATTAGAACCGTAATAGGCAACTACCAAATTGTAGCTAAAATATAAAATATTGTTAGGCAATGAGACTGTGATTTGCAGCAAAATGCATTTTGGCTCTGAATCTATGGGTGTGGTGGTTAAATTATTTAAACTGTAATGTTGCAGTTCAGTTACCATCTTTCTCTTGTATTGTGGCAGATTTCCTTACATTTATTGTAAAATACTATAGCCAAAGAAAATTGAATGCAAAAACAATCCAAAATACTGTAATGGCAGATAAAACCAAATGGAAAGTTGTCTTTATTTACAGTAAATGGAAAAAATTAGTTTATTTCTGTCTCCTGCTTAAAATAATAGTGCATTTCTGCATTTTGTGTAGCTTTTAAGGCAATACTTGCTGAACCAAGAAACAAACCTGCATACTCTGAGAATGACTACATGAGTGGAACTAGACAAGATCCTTTGCCTTATGGATCAGGATATGATCCTCCCCGAGGTCAAACTGTGTTTCCGTTTGGTAAGTGTACAGAGTTAAGCAGAAATTTAGATGGTAAAAAATATGAAATGGTTAAAGCGCACCTGATGTGGATGTAGTGCATGCTTAAACTTGTATTAATAAATTGTTTTGAAGTTGATGTGACTGCTTTAAAACTTGCCGTGCAGTATACAGAGAGCTGAAATTCAGCATTGCAAAAATTGCTTCAAAACAGGCTTTGGTATTATAAATAAGGCGGAAGTGAATTTTATAAAAAATTCTTGTGTTGCTTTGGAATGAAGAAAATGATTAACCCCTCAAAAATAACGAAGAGTATATGCTTAAATTGTGGTTGTTTCTTGATAATGATTGTCTATTAAATAGTTTCTTTTATCATTCTCAAAGCTGATTCATCCCTGTCCAGTTAGAATTTCAATTCTCTTCTATGATAATTGTGTTGAAGTATTTCAATAATTTTGTATCATTCCACTTACTCACTAAATTTGTAGCTTTTTTTAAAATTAAGTGTAACACGTAGTAAGCCACATACAGTGCTTTGTGCTATTAGTGGTGGTGCTATCTATTCACAAATGTTTTGGTTTTTATTTTTGATTTATGTGCTGATACAGGTGAATTCACCAACTTTGGAACAAGTGAAATGAGAGGTGGTGAAATGAGAGCTGAAATTAGAAATGAAATGAGAGGCGGAGAAAATATATCCGCATGTCTTTCAGTATCTACTAGAGGAGTGCTCACTCACGAACAAGTTTATAGTCTGTTTGATATTATCCCAGGACTGGAATATTGTGAAATTCAGAGAGATCCCTATATGGGTTATGGCAAAGGCAAGTACTGTTGAACTTAATAGATAAAACAAGTAATTGTCTGCTGTCCTTTGAACGGAATGTGGAAATTAGTTTATTCCTCCCAGAGCATGCACGCATTCTTGGGATTATTTATTATACTCTAAACTGATTCTCCCATTCCACCACCAGCCTCCCCATGCATAATACATCTTGTTGTGATTATTTATTACTGGTTAAACTTATTCCCTATTTCACTTAGCACATGTACATATTCTTTTGCATTCTCTCTCTCTCTCTCTCTCTCTCTCTCTCTCTCTCTCTCTCTCTCTCTCTCTCTCTCTCGGAGAAAGAACGAGTATTTCTTCCATATCTTTGGGGAAGATCATAAATTAGGCACATGGGTGATTCAAGTGTTAAAATCCTACATGTTCTGTTCCATATTCATAAAATATCAACAATTCGATCTTGTTTATGTTGGATTGTAATCAAACCTTCTTTAGTAGAAGATATTTTTTTTGCCCATATCAACTTGTGCATCAAGTTATCAAGTTATGCATAAATATTATTGGGATAGGGTATTTTATGTGAGATATTTTCATGGAAAATGTTTTGTTCAGGAAAAGCACAACTGCTTTTTATTAGTGCCGGTACTCTTTCATATCCAAATTCTTTTGTCTGAAGTCCGATGTTGGTTTAGGTATTTGGACAGTTCATATCACATCACAATAGAATTTTAGTTCAAACAGTTTTTATTTTTTTCCAAAAAATAGTCAGAACTTGGGAGTGCAGTACTAATGGCCATTAGCATTTTGACTTTCTGTGCATTCGTTGAGTTGACAAATGTGTATTTAAGGAATTTGGCAAAAGATATGAAACTCTGCATGTGTGTTTTTTTTTTAAAACTCTAATAAATACCTCAGGCACATAAATAATATGCTCCCATTCTGGAACTTTGATCAACAATAAATAAGAATGCACAGTATGTTGGTCTGAATCTGACAAAGGATTAAATGGGGATGGATCAGGATTTGGTCATAAAATTATGCAACACTATCTACAAATCCCCTGATTTGAATTCAAGAAAAAATGTTTTCGAAAAATAATTGAAAACTGAAGAAACTGAATAATTTCTTATTGAAATTTTGGAAGTCTCACTATAATGCTCCAAATTTAAATATGCTTCAGTTCATATATTATTTGTAGTAACCCAAAAGCAAGTAAACCAGTTTAGGATTTAGTATACTAATACTGGCAAAACATTTCACTTTGACATGTTTATATCTGCATTCTGAAAGCTCGGGCTTAAAGGAATGCATTTATCAAAAAAAGTCCCAGATGTTATTTACTGCTCACAATTTGTGTCAGATGATATATGATGCGTAACTTGTATTGTCTCATCATGTTGTAAGCATGAAGTTGAAGGCCTCTTACCTGTAGGTGACAGTCATAAATATTGTGACTGTTTACAGCAAAACATGAAAGATATTGGTGTAACAGAATATGTTTTGAAATATTAGAGTTTCTATTTTTATTTAAAACTATAATTTACTATTGGATTGGCAATTCTGCAGGAATTTCCTTGAGAGAAAAGGCCTTATGAAGTGTTGCTCCAGTAGCTTGTGTCTTCTTTGAAAATTACAGAATAACATATTTGTTGTTTAAATGCATCGTCTGCTTAAGATTTTTTTGTGGAGAAAATGAAATTGGGCTGTTGCATGTATAAGAGAACAGCTAAATGTGGGATAATTTCTTAACCCGGAAGTACTGAGTACTGATGTTTACAGAATTTTGTTTTAGGATATGCTCTTGTTCGGTACAACAATGTGGCATCAGCAGTATATGCCAAAGAAAAGCTTCATGGATTTGAGTATCCACCTGGTAATCGACTTGGAGTAAGTTACATTGAAAGTGATTCTGGTGATAGACGACCAAAGTAAGTATGTTTCAGAATAATGTTGAAAGCTGAACTGAGTACTTTTTGTTTTTCATCTTCTAACTAGTGCTTATTGAAATAATTGTTCCAATCATTGTTTCCTTATTCTGTTTTAGCCCAGTTGGAATGATGGCCTTACAACTTGTGGCGGCTCAGATGATGACACTGGCCTGTAATAGTCCTATTGGTCAACAGATAATTCCAGCTTCACCTGTGAGTACAAAACATTAGATTTTTCTTTCTATTTTTAAGGTGGTTTCTTTTTTGGATTGTAAGATACTTATTTTTTAAAAAATCACTGTTTAGTTGTAAATATTGCAGGTCAGATTCCCTGTATTTAGTATTCTGTGTAGCACTGCACTGCAGTTATTGCAAGAAGACTAATTTATTGAAATCTGTTGAAACTCTTATTAAAGCTCCATCACAGAAGAGTTTATTGAAGAGAGGAGGAGTTTAATGTTGGTTATTTGCTTATATAAAAGTATGACCTATACTTTGTATTTGAGGTCTTTGTGTTTTATTTTTTAATTACATGTGTGATGTTTTTCTGTTAATGCCATTTTATCTGATGTTAGGCACTATGGACTTCTGGCTAATTGAGAATTCATATGTGACAAATGACAAAAAGAAAATGGGTAATAGATTTTGTTACAAGAAAGGTGATCTGTGTAATTGTGTTTGTTACTGCAAAGCTAGAACGACAAGTGATCATTCAGTATTTAGGTTGCAGGCCAGTAGTTGCAAAGGAAATATTTATGGAAGGTATGTTTTCCTTGTATTGTTTCAGTTTCTTGAAGTTTTTTTGTGCTAAAATTGCAAATAGCTAAAACCATATCTCCCTGATCCCACAATGGATAGTCAGTCATTTTGATTTCAACACGTACATATTATTTCGCCATAGATGTTTCACATGTAATGCAGCAGATTTTACTGCTGCCATACACTTTGATACATTGAAATTAGTTATTTAAAAACCCTTTGTTCTGCAACAAAGGCATCATAGATCTGCATTTTGAAGCAACAAACGCATCATAGATCTGCATTCTGAAGTTCACTGCAATCCTCATTGCTTACATCAAGCACATTTAGAGACATAGCATTTGTTCATTATATGTAATAGCCAGAATAATGTTAAACAACAAATGAACTCCATTTTACATACTTTAATAAAGTTTTCTAAAAGATATGTCAAGTGGCTTGTTAGTTGTGACACAGTTGGGAAACTTATGGTGCAATGAGAAAGGACTGCAGGGGTCGGTATTGAGACGACTGTTTTTCTTAAGCTATGTTAATCATTTAGATTTAGGTGTATAGGACATAGTTTCAAAATTTGTAGATGATGCAAAATAGGGAAATATTGATTTTACTGTAGAAAAGATAATGATTGACTTCAGGAGGTCAGGGAACATGCTGGATTTTGACAATTAAAATTTGGTATGGAGAAGTTTAAAGTAATGCTGTGGTTGGTTCGCTCGCCGAGCTGGTTCGTTAGTTCGCAGATGTTTCATTACTCTGCTGTGTAACATCATCATTGCAGCCTCCGATGAAGTGCTATTGTGTTTTCCTGCCTGTTGCGAAATCACTGCAAAGAAAAACTGGAAATGAGGTAACCAATTCCAACGGACCCCAGAGTTTAAATACCAGGCAGGAAAACACAACAGCACTTCATCGGAGGCTGCACTGATGATGTTAGCCAGCAGGGTAATGAAATGTCTGCGAACTAATGAACCAGCTCGATGAGCGAACCAAACACAGCATCCACAACCCGAGCTACAAATCTACTCAAAAACTTTAAATTAAAGTAATAAGTTTGTTAGGAAGCCATAGGAGAAAATCTGACCCCTTGAATATAATGTGGGAAAATGTAACATTGCTCGCTTTTTGGCAGGAAGTATTTAAAGAAAAGGATATTATTTAATTGCAGAATTAAATACGGAATACTGAGATGCAGAGGGATCCAAGTGTTCTAATCACAATAAGTTAATTTGCACCTACTGCAAGTAGTTAAGAAGGCTAATGGAAATCCATCCTTTATTACTGGAGGAATTGAACATAACCCCAAAGACATAATCATCGTTTATGCAAGACATTAGTGAAACCAGATGTCAAGTGCTGTGTGCATTTTTGCAGTAGATACACTGGATGTGGTTAACAGGTTTTACAGGATTGTCGCTTGGAGGGAGAAGGTTGCCTTGCGAGGAAAGGTTGAACTGCCTGGGCTTGTTTTCATCGGAATTAGAAGAGTTGAAGAGTGATTTGATTGAAGAATATTGGACTGGGAATGGTCTTGACAGGGTGAACATAAAATGAATGTTTCCTCTTGTGAGTGAATCCAGAATTAGGAGGCATTGTTTAAAAACTAGAGCAGAAGTTAATTTTTTTTTCTCTTTGAGGATTGTGCATTTTTGGAATCTTCTGCCTCACAAGGTAGTGGGCATAGAGTCACTGACTAGTTTTAAAGTAGAAGTAAATAGGTTCTTACTAGGCAAGGGACTCTTAGTTATTGGGGGTAGATGGGAATATGAAATTCAAAACACTAACTATTTAGCTATGATCTTACTAAATCGGGGAGCTAGTTCCAGGGGCTACTGTGGCCTACTTCTGATCCTAGTTTGTTTGTTTATGGAGGCATTGTGTTCAAAGAGGACATGTAGGAATAGAGAAGCTTGATGATCTAAGTGCACATATTATTGAAAATGGCTGAGCAAATTGAAAAATTGTTCAAAAAGGCATGTAGGCTTTATAAAGACTAATGGAGTACAAAAGCAAGTTATGGTTGGCCTTGATAAAATAATGCCCGAATCTCAACTGGAGTATGGTCTGTAGTTCTGAACATTGTATTAGTTATGTAGCTAGATTGGAGCACTTGGAGTCATAGTTAGAAGGTTGAAAGGGAATTTAATTAGGGTTTTAAAAATCATGAGGGTCTACACAGAACAGATAGAGAGAATCCTCTGCTGGACATGAGAGTTTAGAACCAAGTGGCACACTTTTATTGAATGGCAAAAGAGGACAATCAGCAGAATGAGGGAAAGGTTTACCATGGCACAATTGGTTAAGATCTGGAATGCATGAGTGGCTTCCTCCTGGCATTGAGATACAGGGTTAATGAGCAGAATTTTCTCAACGGTTGGAGTTATCACAGGGCAAGAAATTGCAGGCAGCAACACACAGTTGATGCTGTCAGCCCAATCAGAGGGCCAGCATTAAATAAGCTACAATAAATGTATTATATAAATGTCATAAGACTGTAAAATGTAGGCCATTCAGCCCATTAAGTCTGTTCCACCCATTCAATGAGATGATGGCTAATCTGATCCTCATTCTGCTTTCCTGCCTTATTTCCGGAACCAAATCAGTCAATCTCAACCTTGGAAAAAAATTATTGCCCTAGCCCTGATGATCCTTTGCTGTAAAGAATTCAACTCATTGACTACCCTCTGAGACAAAAAAAATTCCTGTTCATCTCTGTCTTAAATGGGTGACTGCTTATTTTGTGATTATGCCTTAGAATCTTATGTTTCAATAAGGTCTCCTCATTCTCCTAAATTGTGATGAGTACAAGTCCAGCCTCTCCTCATAAGAAGTCACTGTCAGAAGTCACATGACATCAGGTTGTAATTCAACAAGTTTATTTGAAATCACAAGCTTTCGGAGTGCCAATTATGATTTCAAATAAACTTGTTGGACTAAAACATTGTGTTGTGTGACTTCTGACTTTGTCCACAGTATTCTAGGTGTGGTCTAACTAGTGTCTTGTACAGTTTTAGCAAGCTTTCCTATTTTTATTCTCCAATCCCTTTGAAATAAAGGCCTTGTGAATTTGTAAACTTGACAATTGTATGTTGAATTCTATCATTCAAGTCATTAATGTATCTAGAAAATTGTAAATAACTCGCTTCAGCACTGAACATTGTGGCACTCCATTATTTACAGATTACCATTCTGAATATGCCTGTTTTAACTAACTCTGTCTTCTAATATTTGCCAAACCTCTATCCAATTTGATATACTACCAACAATTCCACGGATTCTTATCTTAAGTAGCTTTACGTGCTGTACATTATGGCCTTTGGAAATTCAAATATTACATCTACTAGTTCCCTTCATCTAGTCTGCTTGTTACCACCTCAAAGAAAACTAATAAATTTGTCAGGCATGATTTCCCTTCATGAAGCCATTCTAACACTCCTTGATTTAATTATATATTTCTAAATGTTCTACTGTTACATCCTTTGTAATAGACTGTAACATTTTCCCAATGAATGACATTAAGCTAACTGGCCTATAGTCTTCCTCCCCTTTTGAATAAAGGTGTTATATTGGCAGTTTTCCAATCTTCTAGGTCTTTTCCAGGGTTTAAGGATTCTTGGAGGATTAGTACCAGTGTAACCTCCACCTGTGTCATCACTTCTTTTAAAATCCTTGAATAAAATGCATCAGATCCTGGGGACTTAAGCTTTTAGCCCTGTGACATTCCACTGTATTTTTCCTCTCTTCATTGAAATAAGTGTTTTTCTCTCTTTTTCCCTTTCTCCTGTCAAACCCCTCCCACCCCCCAAAAAAAACCACTGGCTAACTATTATTTCTTGCCACAAGATACATGTTTCTTTCAATTTGATATTATCCTTATCCATGGTTAACTATGTTCTCTGTCTCCTCCTCCTCCTCCTCCGCACCCCCCCCCCCACCACCAGAGTCTTATTCCTCAATGTGATGTGTCTTTGCTGTGAGTCAGAACTTTTATTTAAATGTTCCTCAATCATCTGCTCTGGTAGGCTCATCTCAGTTATTTTAGCCAACTCTGCTCTTACCTCTATATAATGACCATTATTTAAGCTTAGCAGCATTCTGATCCAAGTTTCTTATTCTCGGTTTGAATGCTAAATTCACTATGTTTAGTCACTGGGATTTTTTGTTCTTGAGATCATTGAATAAACCTGCCTCATTACACGTTAGATCCAAATAGCCTCGAACCTGGATGGATTCATAACATTGTTCCAGGAAACTGTTCCGAATGCACTCTGAATTCTTCTTCATAGATACCTGTGCCATTTTGATTTCCCTAATGTACATGATTAAAATCACCCATGATTAGTTTGCTGCCTTTTTACATGCCTTAATTATCTCCTGATTTATTGTCTGTCCTACAGAACAGCTACTGTTGGGGGGTCAGTAGGCTACTTGCTCCCATATTGTCTTCCCCTTGTTATTTAGTATCCCCAATCATGTGGATTGTACACCATCCGATTCCACCTCATTTCTTGCTATCATACTTATTCCATCTCCTACTAACAAAGTAATCCCACCAGTCTTCCCCTCCTGTCTGCCCTTTTGAAATGTCACATACCTCTAAACATCTAGTTCCTAATATTGGTCTCCTTGTAACTATGTATCTGTAATGGCTGTACAGTCGTTCCCACTAAAATTATTTGTGCCATTAATTAGTTTATTTTGTTCTGAATACTACACACGTTTAAGTAAAGAACCATTAATTTTGCCTGCTACTTTTTTATTCTCCCTTTGTCCCCATTTGCTGTTGTTTTCCTAAGCTTATTTACTCTGCATAATCCTGTCCCATTCTGTATACAATGATCAATCTAGATGCTCTGCAATGCTACCATATCCTTTTGCTACATAAGCCTAAGTACCTGACACCAGCTACCGCGCCCCCACCCGCCCCCAAACCCTCTAATCAATTTAAAACGTTTGAGAGGAATTAGCTTGGTTTTCTACTCTACTTCTTTACTTATAAAGCTAAGACTTCCATACAAGTATTTGGCATCTTCTCAACTTGTCCTACCACCTTCATAGATTTGTGTATACCCGAGATCTCGTTGTTCTTATGAATCCTTTTTAAAATTGTCCAATTTAGATTGTTTATCTTTATTCTTAATGGATTACTTCACACTTCTGTGCAACTTCCATCTGCCAGATGGCTTCCAATTTAACCAAGCTGTCTACAACCTTAAAATCTGTTATAATCTCTTGACTCTTTGCCATGTTTCATGTTACTGCAGTTTTAAAATTGTGCACCAAATCCAGATCATTATAATACATCAGAAGAAGCTGTGATTACACTGTTGCCTCCAGGGGGCCACAACTTCGCAGTTGTCTCCAGTTTGACGGACAGCACTGTTCAGCACTTTGATCTTGAGAGCCAATTTTATATTTCTTCGATCCTGTCCTGTAACTCCTAAGGGTTTCACATTTGCTAACAAGTCTATCATGTGGTACTTTATCTAACAACTTTTTGAGAGTTCACTGCACACTTACAGCACCGCTTTCACCCTGTTACGTGATCAGAGAACTCTATTAATTAGTAAAATTGGTTTGACACCACTCTTCTTTTAAATAAGATGATTTATTTAAAGATCCAGATTAAAACAGTAAATTAGCAATCCCATTATTTATGGGAACGAGCTATGACTGACTTTTGTACATAAAGTACAAACAGATAGAAGCTTAACTTTGGCTTTCCAGACATCTGACGTCTCCTAGCTTTGTTGGCTGCACTTTTGAATTTGACTTAGAGTTACTGTTAAACCTTGATAATAAACAATATAATTAATTGAAAAGCACATTGTTAACTGATTTTAGCATTATGTTAATTATGGAAGTGAATTAACAGAGTCTGAACAACTGTTTCTTCCTGACATAGACTAAGTGTTTGAGGCATTATAATTGACAGCTTTATGATTTACATTAGTACGAATGGACAATAGGTGTCACAGTTTGGCTGATATAAACAAGTAATGTTTTAAAATGTGGATCTTTTAAATAGTGGGGCCTAGATTGACAAGAGAAATTTATCCCCTTATAGTTTTTGGGATGTAGAAATTTGTACATACAAACGTTTAGATGTTGCAGGTAGTGTATATACTGTGGGTTAATTTTATATTCACTTAGTTGCATGATTAATGTATGAATTACCATTCTCATTAGAAGAGAATTCTAAAAAGACAAAAATATAACATGACTTACATCTGTTGCAGGGATATGGAGGAAGCAGTAATACGCAGATGTCTCGGTTGCAGGTTGACTTTTCTTTGCCTGCACCTCAAAACTTTGCTGCTTCTGATAGTACTGTCAGAGAAAGACTATTTGTGGTCTTCAACCCAACTGTCCTGCCCCTTGATATATTGGAGGACCTGTTTTGGTAAGGAGCTATTTTAGACTTCTGAAGTGCCCTAACATTGCTTGTATGTGCTCGAATAAAAGCAAGATACTGCAGATTCTGGAAATCTGAAAGAAACACACACAATGATCAAGAAACTCAATTGGTCTGGCAGTGAATGTGGAGAGAGAAAAAGTTAACATTTTGAATCGATTATTACAATTCTGAAGAAGACGCTGCCAGACGTGCTGAACTTTTCCAGCATTTTGTGTTTGTTGTCTGGTGTATGTTTGTTTTTTGGTTACTTACTACTCTAGGCCTGTTAACCTGTAAGATTTCTTATCCCTTTCCCTTTACAAATTGTATTAGAAAGTATAGTGAACTGTGAAGAAGAGCAGAACTTTGAAAAAAAGGCATACTAGGTGACTGGATGGAATGATGGTAGATGCAAGTTAATATAACTGTATGAGAGGATGAAATGATCAAAGTGATGCAATTGGGAAACACTTTGGAGTAGATGAACAAAATTATTTAACATTTTAGATACATATTTAAAAGCTACCTCAATTTGCTTACTGGTGAAACATAATTCAGAATATTGTATCAAACTTTCAATTTATGAAATATTGTTCTGGACTTGGAAAAGTTGTCAGAGTGATGTTTTGAATGGAAATGAGTTACCGTGATGAAGGGGTAATCAGGTCATGGCTTGTTCCCTCCTCCAGAGCAATTGAGAACAAGTGGATACATCAGTTTGCAAATGAATTCAGGATGAATTTGCTCTCAGAGTTAAGATTGTGGAACAGTGCCCTAGCAGTATTTTAAGATGAATTAGAAACAATAATAAAGTTTGGGGAACAGAAATGGGGACCGAGTTGTGAAGGTTTGATGAGGAAAATGATCTCTTCCTTCCTGCACAATTTCCCAAGGAAAGCATGTATGGTTAAAATTACCAGTACTATTTTTAAGCATTCGTTAACCATTTCGCCAAAGCAGTCATATATTTTCAGTATTACTTGTCATCATACTGGTGATACATGAATTAATCTCTCGGCATGTTTATTTTTTTTTTATAACTGGGATTTTCTATTTTCATTTGTGGTGAAGTTCCTCTTGCTGTAGATACTTCATTTGAATGTTGCAAACTTTATGAAATACATAATCTTAGTCTGGTAATAAACTGATTGTGTATGCTAAAGAAAGTCATCTGCATATTTGGTTATGATTTGTTGTTCTCAAATTTAGGTTTATTTTCTTTAATATATTAATGTTTTCTCCTAGTCGTTTTGGAAATCTGATTGAAGTATATTTGGTACCAGGACGTAACATTGGCTATGTTAAATATGCTGAAAGACACAGTGCTACTAATGCCATGGAAACTTTACATGGAAAGGTTGTTAATGGTATCAAGCTCAAAGTAATGCTTGCTGATCCTCCAAGAGAAGAGTCACATAAGCGACAACGAACACACTAAGATGTTCCACAAAAGATTGTGCAAAGGTAAGCTTCTTTTCACCCTGATTATGGGACTGCATGATACAATGGGCCATAATTTGCTGCTGTTAGTCAGATTTGCCCATGTGTGTTCAGTTTTTTTAGCTTGATATGGCAATTTACTGAACAAACCAGCTAATAACGCTATTGAATGAAATTGGGCATTGGGGACACAAACGGACTGAGTCAGAAGCTGTATCTCAAGTAATCAGTTTGAAGGATTGTGAACAGAACATCACAAGGACTGAGAAGAAAGTGCAAGTTGGGCGATTTGATTGCATAATTAAGCAAGGAAGCAAAGAGCAATTAAGAGAGAAAACAAAACTAAAAAAGGAAAATTTGAGACTTACATTCTCAAAATCTTGAACAGTTAAAACCTGAAGGACTGAGATTCCACATTTGGAATATTAATTTTCAGTGCCAGAGAGGGAGACAGGTAATAATTAACAATTAATAAGATGCTAAACCGATTCTTAGACTGAAATGTTTAGTTTGAATCTCAAGTACCACAATTTGCATCACAAAATGGTGAGCCAGTCAATGAGATGCCATTTCCATAAAACTAAGGGAGGGGTGATGCAGTTTAGCCAGCAACATTTCGACTGGTGTTTAACTAAGTGTCCGCTTTCAAGTTGCAAGTTGTTGTAGCTTTGGGCATTAATAGTTGGTGCTATCTGCTTCTCCTTTATTTAGACAAGTAATACTTATTTTGTGCTTGCCTGTTAGTCTAGTTTATATTCAGCCCAGACAAATGGGTTTAAAGAAAGTAGCATTGAACCATGGAGTCTGTCAGACTCCATGGCAACAGCATAATGTAACTCTCCAGTTTGCTGCTGAAAGGCACTGGGTTTGCTTTATGATTAAGATTGAATGTATGACAGAAGAAGTTAATGCTGGTTTGTTGTAGGGGTGTTCTTATGAAATTGGTCTTGGTGTAGTTTTGGGGTAGTGCAAAAATATTTCTTCTTTACACATATTTGATCTTCAGAAGTTCTCATTTGCTGCAGTTGAATCCAAAAGAAGTTTGTTTTTTTCCAGTATCCACCATTGTACTGCTGAGGTCAATTTGAATTTTAAAGAAATTCCCAAATATATATCTTATCCAAACTATTTCATTAATTTGATCATTTTTTTATTACTTAATAATGCCTCTCACTTCACTCTGACAAAATTAATGACCTGCCAGCAAAATTATTCTATTGCAGTTAAGGAAAAAATTCAGATTACATTGAAATATGAATGTTTCGCTTATAGAAAATTATTTTAAACAATATTTGGTCATAATTCAATGGTAGCATTTTTGTAATTTTTGGCAGTCTGCTAACAACCTATTGATATTTTTGATGTCTTTGAGTAGCATTTTAAACTGGATTTATTTTTAATTCACTCGATGCTGCAAAATTTACCATAATTTCTGCACTATTATGATTACTCCCACTAATCTACGATATTAAAAATAGTCTTGAAAATACTATATTAAACATTAATAATGGTAATGGATTCTTTAGTAGTTAAGGTTATGCTTGAGTCTGTGAGCACATGGTATTTTCTACAAGCACAGTAAGCATACTTTATTGCTTAGTAGATTAGTTTGAAAGTTGAATTGTACCTCAACTTTCTGTTTAAAATTTATGGATTGAAAGAATGCTTAGGATTTCTTCCAACATCTATGATTGTAGGTTTAGTTTTACATTTTTCACTGCTTCACAAAGCTTTGTGTTTTTATTTGAAAACACAATGTACAACCTCCAATAAAGTTTTACCAGATTTTTTTTTAAGAACACTGTCCTTTACTTTAGTGTCTTTTCAACGCTTATTTTGAATACAGGTATAAAATGGAAAACCAACCTTTTATGTACTAATGAATATTCCCAGAGTTAAATTAGGGAAAATATTGTTTGCTTTCAACGGCTGTTTCTTGAGGCAAAGAACTGGTAAAATGAATGTCCCAAAACCTTATTGGAACCCCAATATAATATCCGGCACATTTAAAATGTTTCAGATTTATTGTTTAAACAATAAGTTCTCTAGTTCTAGTTCTTAACAGGGAATTTTGTGGAACATAGTTTGTACTATACCTGTAGACTTTTATTCCTTGTTAACAGATGCTTTTAACATTTTCACAGCACTTTTTATAAATGTTTTTGTTTCTGCAGAGTGGGGACAATTGACATGACACATCAGCTGACTGACTGGCTACTTGACAGTACACAGTGACTTCCACTCGTGACCTTTGCTAGTAACTGAACAGTTTTTTTTTATTTTCTGGGAATAGGCAGCGAGTGAAGACTTTGACAGATATTGATTGCAGTGTTTAAGATAGGAATTTTAGTAACAGATTGAAGAAACCTACTTTAATCCATGTAACCTCTGCGTTCCCAGCTATTAGAATTTGAATTGTATCTGTTAGCTTTGTTATCTTCAATAACTTGTACCAAACATAATAAAGCTTAATTGTGAAACCTTTTGGTTTGATTACTTTCTGAATGGTTCAATTTCACAGTATCATGATCGAATAACACAGTAAGTAAAACCCACTGTATCAATATGTAAATTGTGATCAATTAGTACCTGTTAGCACACTGGTTGAAACAAACAGTTGTCAGTATCCACATTCCGATATATATACACATTGTGTGTAGGAACACAATTCATTTGTAGAGAATCAATAAAACTAATTTTAGTAAACACCATTTTTATTTGGCCTCTGTCCTTTGGCGAGAGCACCTTCAAGTTCTTGACTATACTGAATCAGTACTGTAAATTGAAACTGATTGTTAGGTTGAGAAACAATCCATTCACACCCAGTGAATATATTTATGAACTGCAGGCATTCAAATAAAAATGAAAACATGGAAATATAGTTTTGTAATTCAGATGTAGAGTAGATCTTGCACTATTAAATTTATAGTAATGAAGTAAATTCTTAAGTGTTTTTATAATGTAAAATTTACATGAAAGTAAATTTGATTTTGATTCATACACCGCATTCATTGTGCTAATTTTGCTTTTGCTTAAGTACAGGGCAATGCAGAATGAGTTAGATTAATACATTTTAAAATTCATGTTGAAATGGATTCACTATTACAGTACATCTTTCGTTAATGAGGAACACGTACAATTTTGAAAACACTTTAATATTATCACTTTGCTGTCTGGTGAAGCTTTTGCTAACCATGGATGTGTTCCTCTATATATCAGCAATCAGTGCCCAGATTAAAACTTTGTTTGAGAAGTTGAATTATTTGCTTTGGTGATTTACTGAAATAATTTGAGTTTAATGTCGATTGAGTAGAATTAAATTTGTAAGGTTGGTCCAGAATTGGACTTTGATTTCACTGACGTTATTTGGGCTAGTATGGGACCAAGGCAGCATTCCTCCTGGCTCAACAGCAAATTGTTTTGAGAAGATCCTGAGTAAAACAAATTCTGTGCTACTCCACTAATTGTGATCCAGTTTCTAAGATGATGTAAATCAGACTGTGGATCTCTCAATTGTATTTTTTTGGCCCCAGAACAATTACCCAATGCCATTACTGAGATGGATGTTTTTCACATGTTCTTGAGGGGCAGGCTGGTGATTCACTGTGCCAATTTTGTATTCCAGTGGGAAGAATAAAAGCCCATTTCTATCCCAGGTTTTGCCAGAGTCTCAGATTTTTAAAAGTGTAACTTTCATATTAAGAAAGCTTATAATTAAAGCTGGGAAAGTACTGGACCCAAATTATGGCTTTTCTTGGTAAATAAATTAGTTTAAATCCACAAAAGCACCTGAAGTATTTGCATGTACTTCACTTTTTTAAAATTACTGAACAGTTCCAGAAGTAAATTTGGTGTACTGATTTGTCATTCTTTAAATATACAGCAAAGGAAGTTTCATCCTTTTAAATTGTGAAATGTTTTAAAATATTATGTCTGTTTCCAAGCTTCAAGCCCATTGGGCAGTACAGCAGTAAGTACAATAAAACCATAATTGATCAATGTCTGCAAATAAGCACAAAAGTGCCATTGACATGTATATTAACTCATTCATCATTGAAGAGGCAGTCAGTGCTCTGGAATAATTATGAAAATAGATTTTCTTTTAATATTTTTTGGATTAAATTGGTGGTTATTTTGGCTCACTAAAGATAGTGAGTGCATAATACTAAAGATTAATTTAGACCTGGTACAAAATCCAGTTCCCCTCAAACTCTTTCTGGATGCCATGACTCATGCCTTCTAAACCATCTCTGATTTAGTGGCCTGCTTCTTTGCTGTAACCATTCTATCATAGAATTATACAAATTAGGAGCAGCAGTTTGGTCATTTGGTCCTTTTGAGTTTGCTCTGCCATTCGTTAAGATCCTTTCATTTATGATTGTGACCTCCACTTTTTTGATGACCACTGGCTTCTTTGTTCATCAAGAATCTATCGATCTGTGCCTTAAAAACATTCAGTGAATTGCCTCCATCTCTTTCTGGGCAATAGATTTCTACAGATTGACGACCCTCTGAGTGAAAAGATTTCTTGTTTCTGTCTTAAGTGGGAGACACCTTATTTTTCAACTGTGTCCCCTTTCAGCATCCAGCTCATATCCTCAGGATCTTATGTTTCAATAAGGTAATTTCTCATTGTTCTAAACTCCAGTGTGCAGAGACCCAACCCGTCCAACATAAGATTGCTCCCTCTTCCCAGGATCTTTCAGATAGATCTGTGAATTACATCTAATGAATGCAGTTATGTTCTTTTACATAAAGTGACCAAAACCTTACACAGTACTCTCGAGGTGGTCTCACCAAAGCCCTTTGCAATTCCAACAAAACATCCCTAATTTTATATTCCATTTGTGTTCCTAATTGCTTGTGATTCCTGAATTTTAACTTCAGTTATTTTTGTAACAGAACGCCCAAATTCATGTTTACCTTAGTTCTGTAATCTATGATTATAGAGAAGCATACAGTGAAGATTCATAAATATGAATAATAGTAATTAAGAATCAGAGCCTGTAGTTAAAATAGATTTG